CCCTTTGCATCCACATGGAACGCTATTATCTTGGCTTAGTTTCTGAACAGTCTAACTTGGTTTCTGAATCGACTGTTTTGGTTTCTGAATCGGCTGTTTTGGTTTCTGAATCGGCTGTTTTGGTTTCTGAATCGGCTCTTTTGTTGGTTGCTGAATCGGCTGTTTTTATTTCTGAATCGTAGTTGCTGATTCGCCTGGTTTGGTTTCTGAATCGGCCGACTTGGTTTCTGAATCGGCTGTTTTGGTTTCTGAATCGGGACTCGCTTGGTTTCTGAATCGGCTCATTTGGTTCCTGAATCGGACCATTTGGTTTCTGAATCGGACTGTTTTGGTTTCTGAATCGTAGTTGCTGAATCGGCCATTTTGGTTTCTGAATCGTAGTTTCTGAATCGGCTGTTTTGGTTTCTGAATCGTAGTTGCCTGATCGGTTGGTTTCTGAATCGGCTAATGACCGCCAACAAGCTCAGATGCACGCGACAACACTCTGGGATTCTGCCATGTTCTACCTATCAAGAGCCTTCGATCGCCCAGCCAAACTCATCACTAGCGCCATGCCAACCCTGGCCAACCCTGGCCCCAAAACCGTTTCTTTACAACCACGGCGCATCCCCCAATCCCCTCTCCGCCCAGGGACGCGGCAGGATCTCGGCCACTGAGGAAAGGCGAGAAGTCGGTGGCCCGGCCGAGGCTCAAAACCTCGTTCACGCGCGGCAAGGAACCGCAGCAAGGAACTAGGAACGAACGAGTCACGGAGCAGAATCTGCCCATGGAACTGACTCAGTGACGTATCCGTATACTGGCAAAGAAAGTACTTAGGGGCTAGGGTCAACCAACAATTAGGGGTGTTAATCTTCAAACCTAACTCTTCCAGCCGACCGGATCCGAACAGGCACCGCATCCGAGTGCATGGTGCTGCATGGTGCTATGTCCACCCTGGTACCTGTGGGTCCTGTGGGTTGGTCGGAAACGTCTTTGGTTTGGATGAAGTGCATGTTCTGAATTCGGCCCAAAACAAAAAGTCACACTTGGGGATGAACAACATCTTAGTCCTGTGTGCAGTCAGAGTAGGTGAACAGTGCGGGAGAATCTCAAGCAGTTGTCGGTTTTTTGTTGTTTGGGGCCGTTCCATAGCTGTGGTCTTTGACCACGATCTTCGTATTTGTCACCGCCGGCGACCCTTGGCAGATCAGGGAGCACACCAAGGTCTAATCGAGACAGAAAAAGCTCCTTCCCCTTAAAGATGTACGCGACCTCTATTAACTCATATTAACTCTATAGATGTGTAGAGAATGTTGGAAGCTGATTGCGTCAAAGCCGCAAAGGTTCCGATCAGCATATGCTTGGCAATCCGCAGCAGCACTTCCTCACTGCAAAGGTCTTCAATTCCATCTCCGGTTGCTCCGCTAGGTACGGCTCCAAAGAACAGGCATGACCCAAACCTATTGGAAAATGGTACTGGAAGAAACACCAGGACTTCCTTTTGCATCCCGAAACCCGTGCTTTCGCCGCGCCCTAGAAATCAACGGCCACCCAGCAGGTGAGGTGTCTCAACATGGCCAACTGCTGGGCCTAAGGTGAGCCATGGTCCGTGGCTGGAATTGCTCTTCCCCACAAGGAGTTTGAGATATATAGTTGATAGCAGCAGCTCTGTGCAGCAGATCGGATCGCCTCTTTTCCTACACCCTCCGACGACGCCGGAAGTCCAGGCGTCGGAGACGAGGCCGTCACGGGAGGCCTTGAGCTGGCCTTTCTCATCGAAAAGGACCTCCGCTGGGGAGGCAAAGTAGATCACCTAAGGCCGAAAGCTCCAGCAACGGATCCCCGTGGACGGGCTCGACTGAATGGTTCCAATCTGTTGACATGTCACAACTCACAACTATTCATCCATCAGGGCCCTCAGCAGTTTCCAGAATCGCCGGAAACTGCCGGCATGTGCTTCGGCCTGAAGGCGCCAAAAGGCGCCAAAAGTCGCCCATCGCTCCGGGCGCGGCGTCTCGGCTGCAGGGGGACTGAAGCATGGCCCTAAGCATGGCAAACCTTTCTCCAAACGCTCTGAGGGTGCTGCAGTGATGCGCCTGACACGGTGACCCCCCGGCACGTACCAAAACGTCCCAAAACGCGCCAACAACGATGACGAACGAGGAGGGCAAAGGTCTTTGGCACCAAGGTACAAAGTTCTTGAAGGAATCATCGAAGCCCTTGGGTCCAGTACCACAGATCAGTTCCAGCCATCGGAAACCTGCTAGGCGCTGCTGGGCGGTCAAGGGTTTCTTGGAGATGGAAACAGGACAAAATAGGGAGAGTCCCTCACACCACTTGAAGAGACTGACAGAGAGGAAGATTGATTCCACCATGAATCCAGTAGCTGGGGGAAGATCCACGGTGACAGCTTACCACCCTAGCTTGAGTCAGCACAACCCTTCTTGCGGGTTCTCTCTACAGACATGTGTTGCTTTGATGTTGCTTCAACTTTGTGGGCATCACGTTGTCTTTGGAGGGAGGAAGAGAACAAACAGAAAGCCGCCTGTTCCAGGTCCCATCCGATCGCTCCTTCCCCCCTCGTTCCGGCCTGCGACCACCCCGAAGAAGGAGAGCGCGAAGTGCGCCATCTTGGAACGCAAGGGGCCGACCCTGTCGAGGACGAAAAGCCTTGACACGCGCAGAGCTGCGGCCAAGGCAACGCAGATTTAGAACGTGGATCTTGCAGGGGGAGCCCGGCGGCAGAGAATTTGGACCATTTCTGGGTGGTTGAGGATGGATTTCGCTGGCAAGTGGCCCCTTGCTCACCTAGAGAGCTTCTCGGGCTGATCTTGTTCAAATCTCCAAGGATTGTACGTACATGTTGACACCCTGAAAGGCCAACTGGGCGGTCACCCTCGCTGCCAAGCAATGTCTCTTCTTTGAAATTGAGACTGCTTTGGATAAAGTAGCAATCCGGCATGCTGCAACGGAACAGCATTGAGGGCCTTGATTGCAGAGTGGTTTTCTTGTGGGGTTGCTCCTCTTCTTCTGTGCTCTTCTTTGTGCACTATCGCTTTCCAGCCATGTTGCTCTCCGGGCTAGCCAGCTTGGCTTCTTTTGGCCTAGTTTTGCTTGACTACCAGTTGTTCTTCTCACCAAAAGCAGCAGAAATTCCAAGTCACGACCCAAAGCAAGCTCAACGAGAACCGCCGAAAAAAGGCCCATCCAGGTGAAGCACATCGGTCCAGGTCGCGGCCGCAACTTCGGTCGCCAAGTGTCGGCCCGATGACCATGGGCAGCAGCATGAAGCATAAGACCCCGCGGCGCCTCGATCTAAACGGGTGGCGATTATGGTTGAACGCAAGCAACGAAAGCCAGAATTTCTGTCAGTTTCTGCAGTGGGCCCCAAACTTTGAGATTCCCGGGCGATGCAAAGCCCCATAGCCCCTAAGTGCCACTAAAAAAGGGGCCAGCACCACCCAATATTTAGTTGGAAGAAACAGACAGACTAACACCGATGTCACTATGTCTATGTCTTGCTTCTTGAGCCACACGACCACCGCCCGCCAGCGGCCCCCCCTTCCGTGCGGCCATCGGGACCAAGCGCTTGGAAGGTTGCGGTGGAGCGCATAGCCCACGCTGCCCAGAAGAAGCAGCACAGCAAGCCCGGCGAAGGAGATCACTTTCACCTCGCCTCACAGGAGACTGAAAGGTCTGTGAAAGACGTTCCAAGCAAGGCCACGGCGGCCACAACCCTCCCAATCACTTTCAGGTAAGGAGAAAGATGATGGGCTCGTTAAATCACTCATCTCAGCTCCATGCTGATCCCCAAACCCTCATAGCAACCACAAAAAATAACGCCAGCGACCACTGCTCTTCTCATCTGGTCTCGCGCTCGGTTGAATGCCGAAGCTTGGAACAATTCAACATCCTTCCACCTTCTCTCTATGGCCTCTCAGCTCATCATGTACAAAAAAGGTAAACAACCCCTCAAAAAGCCGCAGACTCTCCCAATCCCCAGGAAGAAAAAGAAGTGCGTTTCAAGCCAAGGCGCTATCAGCCTCCAAGTCCTCGAGTTCTTCGCAACCGATGGGACGACGCTATTGGCGGTGGCTCCCAGTCAACTGAACAAAGCTCCCGGTCAGCTGACTGCTTGGATCTCTTTGGTTGGACAGTTGGACACGAAAGGGTTGGGAACAGGAAAACGGCCCAGGCCCTGTCTCCGTGCGTCTTCGAGGACGAGGCCTTGGACTCCGTTCCTCTTCCAACTCAGAGTGATATGATGATTGTCAGCGAGGGAGTGCACATATCAAAGGATGTTCTGTCTGTCATGCCATGTCATACCGTCATACCCATTCCTAGGGAAGCACACAGCCCACACGATCCATTTCTGGAGAAATGGGGAAATTCTCCGTCCCTCTTTCCAGTCGGAGGGTATGAAATGCACCTTTCAATCCTCCCGCCGAATCCAATGCGTTCCAAATAGGTGTTCCTCCAAGGCACGGGTTGGGAGAAGGTCACATGGAAGGGCCCCATCGTGGGCGCGTCTTTCTTTAAGATGCCAAATAACACTCAAGGGCACGTCCCACTTCACATCGGATGAGTCGGTTGGTTGTTTTTCAGTCTTCGGTGCGTGCATTCCGGTGGTTTCATCGAAAATATCGAATCTTGAGCAGGCGGTTTGTGTTCTAAATTTAGACACTCAAAAGGATCCATCATGCAAATCATAGCTGCAATGCTGAAGCCAGAATGAACCGAGCCGTGCATCAAGAAGTCAGCAAGTAAACAGCTGAGTGTTTCCGAGTGGCAAAGAACGCTGAACATGGCAGGAATTGGCCACCTTCAGGACAATGGCCAAGACTTCTAGGCTCTTGTCTGTATCTTCATACATGGCTTTCCTTCTCATCACTTCCAGAAGACTTTTCACCAGGTGCCCAAACAAATTTTCTACTTTGTCACCACAGCACCTCAGCACGCAACATGCTCCCAGATTCCCCCCCCCCAAACCCAACCTTGCCAACCATGCTAGGGCTCCCTACAGCAGCCGTCTGGTCCGTTTCCAAGGGGAAGTGACAGTTGAGAACCTTAGGACGTTCTTGCACGTTGACGCTGCTCCGAGTGGCCTTCCCCGCCCCCCCCCCCAGTCACGGCGACTCGGCTCGGCTCGCGCATCGGAGCGGATCGATGCCCGGCGTCGTCCTCCGGTCGTCCTCCGGTCGTCGGGCGTCTCGAAAGACGACGAGACGATCCGAGGGTCTTTCGACACGTCCGGAGCTTCCCATCTTCAACCGGATGAAGAGTTTCCCATCCTCAAGCCAACCGTTCGAATGAGGTCTCTTCGGTTTCCCCAGCCTCTTTTTCCCCGAAACGGACAGTTCGCTGGGGCAGGTGATCATCGCACTTCCTGGCTGGGTTTGTATACCTTGCAAAGCCGCCCCAACACCAACGACGATCTCGGCGGACCCGTGAAGCTTCCGCCGAGGTCCCACGCACGCAAGCTCCGTCGCCTTGGATCCTCACGCTCCTCGTCGCAGGAGAAGCACCGGACTCATTTGATCTGCTGGTGATCTGAGGAAAGTGATGGTGCTTAGCAAGTTGGAGCTAGATAGCTTGATCTGAGGTAGATGGCAAGTTGGAGGGACGAAGTGGTGACAGTACCATGAAGTGATACAGTTGTCCTACCTCCGATCGGCATAGCTGAACAGTTGGTTTGGGAGAGTGTACCTACCTTCCCAGAAACCATTTGTTTGCCTTTGTCCCTCTGTCCCTCTGTGCAACCATCACCTGCCAAGCAGCCGCCAACATAGTCAATGCTTCTCTTGGGACTTCATCTTTGGTTTGTCTACAAAGTATATTCTGCTCTTTTATGGATGGCGAGAACCTGTCCCTCCACGTCGCCACCCGAACATAGCCGTGCAAGGCTCTGCAGCTGCGGCCCACCACGCTGCCCCTGTTTCAAACCACCGTCTTCTCAAGACCATTTCAGTTCCTCTCCAAACTCAGCCCCAAACCCCTGGGTGTCTATGTCTTGATCTTGGATCTTTGCCTCCTGCTTGAAAAACCCACCAACAGCATCCAACAGCCACCCTTTTCCACATCGTCCCGAATCCCTTAGTCCCCTCCTCCCTCTCTGCCACTCCTCCGCCAGCACCGTGCAAAGCACCTCAGCACCGCCATGGGCGCAGTGTTGGAGCTCCTCGCCGGCAAGACCACCCGACGAGGCGCGGGTCACCGTGAAGGAAGAAGCTCTGGTGGGGAAGGAAGAAGCTCCGGTGAAATAGGACTGAATTCCGTGATCTGGTCAGACGTATAGACTGTAATACATCTTCCGGGATGAGACGGTGAGCCATGAATGGTGTGACAGAAACACAAGGAGGATGCCTCCGTCATGTTTAAAGAACTTTCATTCCAACTTTGGGTATCCCAATGCCCAATCTTAACTCTGATAGCTTGTTCGTTCGCACCTCACTCCTTTGGTCAAATAGGACATAGGCACATTGATCAGCGACCGATCAGCGACAAAAGGCGCCGACAAAATGCCACGAAAACCGGTCCCAGGTAGCTGCATCCCACAACGTCATCGTGCAGGTAAAGGCCGTCGCGGCGAGATCCGCCGACTGCAGCTGGACGGTGTCAGGCACTCCTCAGGACGAACGGGGAGCGAACTGGCTGGACCCGTCGCAGCAGTGGGGAGGCCGAGCCAAGCCCGTCAAAGAGAACGACTAGTGAGAGTAGAAAGTCCCGTTCCAGTTGAATGAGTCGACTGATAATCCACTTGAAAAAGGCGAGCCTCCCATGGCTGCATCGAGATTCGAACCGCACGGGACTATCATTCAGTGCTTCTGGATGGACATGGGATGTACTCTCCCGCAAACGGACCACATGGAACCTGAGAAGTGACCAGTGGTTTCAACCATTTTCAGTGGTTTTGGGGTTGCATGTGGTCCTCTGCAGGGGCTGTACCCCAAAGCCCCCCTTTTCTTTTCCCCCGAGGACCAGTGCTGGTCTTAGGTGGAGGTGTTGGCATCTCTACTCTACTCGTGGGTACAATTAGAGCTTTGAATAGCCTGTCGTGCCAAAGCATAGAGCTAAAAGACCATGTGTACCATCCATTCTTTGGAGTTCTGGCCTCAAGTAGTGGATGGCATATCAGATGACAAATGAGCTTGGCGAATGCCATCAGTATTGACTCTAGTGCTGGGAGTGCCGAAAGAGAATTTTGATTGGTCTCTTCAAAAGCTTGCCTGCATTGAATGTAGCTTGGCCAGCTTGCCGCTGGGCCCCTGGAGAGGTATCTGTCAAATCTTCCATGGATTCAGGCTTTGGGATCAGCCTCACTGAATAGGCTTCAAGGAAGAAACACTCCGACTGATTCGCGCGCCCGAACCTGCTTGCACCTCTTGCAGGAAGTCTCTGCGCAGGTGCCGATGGTTGGGCGCCTACAGGACGTACGGTCCCCGGGAAAAAAGAAAACATCACTACGGACCTTCAGTCAAATGGCTTTCCAAAATGTGGGGTGGATATATATATATATATATATCATGTCCAGACTGTATACCATGGAGTAACTCTAGGTTGTTGCCCATCAGGTTGGTGAGCCTCAGCATTGAACCTCCCCAGCAGTACCACAATTTTTGCTGATCTGATTAGTTTACATTGCATATAAACCTAAACAAGGAATCTAGAAAAGGCTTAGAGACCAGTCAAAGCCTGGCAAACTCTCTGTTATCGGAGTGGCACCATGTGAGCACCCAACCACAATGTGTCTTGCCCCGTCACAAGGTAACTTGATTATAGCACCCCAAACACCCACCTGTGGTGAATTATGTCCTTCAACATGAGAAGTCTTGAACCTAACAAGCAAGACATTGAACATCATTTAACCTCTTCATGAATCTCTTTTTACGTTCACATCGCACTTCACCACCGAGAAGTTCACCACCACTTCGCTTCGAACACGTCATTGTCTTGCTCCGCCTCTTGAAGGCAAGCCACCTTGGTGCAGAAAACCCGAGTACGTGCGAACTCGCCACTGCCAGCAACTTCGGTGAGTTCAAAATGCAAAAAATAAACAATTGTTTGGTCATCCATGCTTGTACTCAGGCCATGCTGGAGTGGGCATGGAAGTGGCATGGAGTGAGCATCGTTTGGTCATACATGCTTGTACTCAGGCGCAGACCCATCGGACCGACCCAGTCCTGGACCCATCGGCTCGGGTGACCGCAGCCTTCATAGCACCCACCTGTCTCTTCTTATAGTAGTTGTGTGGCTGGTCTTTTGTGGAGTGCAACGAAAAGGAAAATGCATCTGCCAAGAAGATACATCACCCACGTCACTGGCACCTCCACGGGGTCGCCTGACGTGTTACGCGCCATATACCCGGTATACCCGGGTATCACACGGTATGTCCCAAAACTGATATCTTTCGGTCACCCAGGTCAATCCTGTCGCTCCATACCTCACCCCTTCAGTGCCCACCATCACAACCATTGGAATCCGAAGGCGCGCAGCCGCGCGGCATCGGTCCGAATCCACGCGCTCAGCCGTGGGGCCTCGGGGTCTCCAGGGAGTCTTCGGGGGTCTAAAAAGCCAACCAAAGCCACCAAGCCGGCGCTCTGTATCAGGAGGGATATGCTGTTGTTCTTTTTTCCAGGGCCTCTGCCAAAAAAAGAAAGGTGATGAGTTCGTGTCTCATGTCTTTTTTGGGGTCCACGGTCGACCCCACGGTCGACCCGATATGACGGTGAGTGTGACAGAGCGGAGACGGCCTCGACCCAGGTCGACCCCTGCGTGAGGTGTCTGGGACCCGTCTGGGAGTTTCTCTTGCATGTGGATCCCTTGGTAGTGTCGGAGTCGGACTGCTGGTAGGAGTAGTTAGTTCATGAGTCACGAAGCTGAACATGGGTCCCTGCCTTCACTCTACGGGTCCCTGTCAGCGGTGAAATCCGGCTTCTCATCATGAATCCCGCGCTGGAAATGGAGCAACTCACCCTCTGTCAAATCTAAATATGGATGGCCTGGCACTGGCCACGACGCTGGATGAGAGATCGATACTGCATGAACTTGTGTGGTTTTGGGGAGGAGCAAAGGGGAGGGCCTAAGCACACAGGCTCACCCCATCTGAGAACCTGGCGACCTTCTCCTGAAGTCTCCTGACCATTGGACCATCGCGTTCGTGGATGGAACATGCTAGGTCCTAACAGCAAACAAATGATATTGATATTACATCATATTACTGTAACCTATAGGCTCGCCTACCTCCCAGGCCTAGCGCCTGGAAGAAAGGATACAGCAGGACCTGATGATTGACTGATTCGGAGTCCAACTATGAGACACACCAAAATGATTCGAAAAACCTGTTGCCATCCCCAGAAATTGGATCGAACGGTGGCTATGGATGTGCCACCTTTTCCGAAGAACGGCTCACCCAACTGCCCACAACTTGTTGGCTCAAGCAAGGCTCCGCGGAACGGGAGGAAAACCTCCCTTGCTTTGGATGCTCTGTTTAGCCAAGTCTTCCTGTCCACAGGGCCCATCCACTCCACTTGCTTCGTGGCGTGAACCGAAGACCAGGTCAGCCTGCCTGATGTAGTCTTCCACGCTTTCATCGAGGTCCAGGCCATTGTTGGTGACCGCCTCCGGTACGGCGAAATCCGCGGCGAAATCTTCGGTCACTTAACAAGAAGGAGCGATCGGACGCTACTAGGGGCTCTAGGGCGTCCTGGCCTTACTAGGAGCCAGGACGCTACGTTTGGGGCTCCTGGCATCGCTACTCGGAGCAAGAAAGCCGCACTCTTGTGACTGATGCCGCGAGTTCATGGCAGTAAGCGCCAAGGGGTTCACCATCAGGCACGTGACACACACAAGTGAATGATGGTGAATGTTTGCTTGAGCATCTTGTAACTTAAAGAAGTCATCAGGGCAAAGGCCGAGTGGCTCGGAAGTGTTGTCCTGTATTATTCGGCGTTGCCGCTGAAAGTTCAAACGAACAGTTCCACATAGAACTCGCAACTTCAAATTCTTTGCTGTTGCTCGTCGTGCACAAGTCACTCACTGCATGGCACGCAAACCTTCCCCAGCTTCCCAGATGGTCGAACCGAACCCCTCTCCCTTTCACCGCTTCGCTCTGTAGTGCGTCGCCGCTAGCGAACGGCCTCCCCCGCCGAGGTCCTGGCGGCACCGGCTGCACGGTCACGGAGCCGGTGGGGGGCGTCGTCCACATCGTTCCCAGCGGTCCCACCGGTCACCGAGTCTTCGTCGAAGCTGGAGGGAGATCGGACTCGAAGACGCACCACCCGAGGTCTGCGGTGCGTGCTAAAGGCGTGTTTGACTTGGAGTGATCCGACCAATTCCGGCTATTCCACCAGCACAGGCACCCAAAAGAGTTGTTCAGTGGTTGGGCTTCGGATCGCAATCCAAGGCCGCACCGACGCACCGACCTAGTGAACAAGGCAGGACAAAACCAGGCCAGCTGAAACACCCCGACCCACCCAGCTTCACCGATGTGACCCACCCAGCTTCACCTCTTTTTGCTCAAGAAAGAACCCCAGGAAAAAAAATGTAAAAAACGTATCTTGGACTGTTTCCGGGAAGGACATACCGACCTCCAATCATGGGGCGTACTTCCTCCATGCTCCATCCGACTCGACTCGTGCTGTCCACTGGCCGATCGATCCGTGTGTCCATCTTCATGACCCGCAGATCTACCAAGCCGAAACCCAGTGAAAACTCCTTCCCAGTCACCTGCAGACCATCCTCCCAGCCACCTGCAAAGGGCCCGACCCATGATGTTCCAGTTGAAGACCCGCACCTGGACCAAGTCATCATCGAGTCGTCGCGGCTGTGGAGCCCTGAGGAGCCCTGAAGTCGGAGCCAATGTTAGGTGATGACAGGAGTAGTTCGTCTGACTGCTGCTTAGTAAGGAATGAGAGAATGGATCCTAAGGTATCTATAGTGAGGGGTCATTTCCTCATTCCGTACTAAGTACCAGTCAGTCGTTGGTGTATCATTTCATGGATTTGCCCTGCCCGCTCATCATCCAGACTTGTAGCTCTCCAAAACCCTGGATATACTAATGTGTCATGCTTGATTAAAGGGGGAGGAGGTAAACCGGTAAACCAAATGGCTCGAATCCTCGGTTTTGATCCATTTGATGCCAACGGCCGAGAGTGCCAAGGGATTTCCACGCTTCCATTGGCTTAGCAAAAGCTGTGCCCCATGTGCCAAGTCCTCATTCCCAACTCCGGTTTTCGCACAGGTATTTCAGAGCGCTATTGGGGACTTCTGCAAAATCTGTACGGGAAAAGCAAGCTTGGCCAAAGAAGAATGCGGTGCGTCAAAAATCCTTCCAGGTGGACCATTCTTCATAAGATCTTTGCGCCCCACCCCTGCTCTTTCGTGGCGCCACCGCTCCCCTGCGAGCCTCCTCTGCAGTGGGCCCAAGAAATGTGAACTCCTCAAAACTGCACGAGAGAAGCGCACTCAAAATCATGCCACCAAACAGGATGTGTAGCGTAGAGTGGATAATCACAACCATGACTCTCCACAAAAAGCAAGTGCAAGTAACTCAGAGGTTGACTGGTCAGTGAGTGCAAGTTGTG